GGGGCTCCTCACCCTCGACAGGTGGTAAATAGTCCCGCAATTTGGTATCGGGGCGGGACACGAGGGTGAGGAAATGCAGAGTGTGGAGCATGAGCATGTGCAGTTGGTCTCTGGGCACGGTCCGGAACCAAACCGGCTGCAGGGTGCGCAGCCGGCTTGGAGTGTGGGAGCCGGGAGGCCGGGGGTGGTGGTGGTCATGGAACAGGGGTTGAATAAAAAGGTCCAGAGGGCCCGGGGTAAGGGGTGGGTGGGGAACACCCTCTTGCAGGGCCCCCTGCAGGAAGACGAGAGAAACGCGTGACAAGGCATCCCCCTGGTGTAAGTGCAGCGGGGTCGGAAGGGTGAAAAGCCCCATGAGCTGACCGAGCACACGGGGATCCACGCAGTCCCCTCTGTCGTAGTCCAGGAGGTCTCCGACCCTGGTGGTTTCTGCCAGGACCAATCTCCGGTGCATCAGGGTAATTGAGAAATGGCAAAGTGACTGGCGCAGCCCCATCGTCTTGGTCCCTAAACCGGATGGGACGGTCCGCTTCTGCATCGACTTTAGGAGGGTCAGTAATATTTCAAAATGTGAGGCCTACCCTATGCCGCAGATTGATGTACTACTAGACTGCCTGGGGGATGCACAGTACATCAGTACCCTGGACCTCACAAAGGGGTATTGGCAACTCCCCCTAAGTCTGAGCTCTCGGGAGAAGACTGCCTTTTCTACCTCCACCAGGTGGTATCAATTCACCCGAATGCCTTTAGGTCTTCATGGGGCACCAGCCACCTTCCAGAGGTTGATGGACGGGATCCTACAGCTACACAAATCCTTTGCGGCTGTGTACCTTGACGACGTGATAATTTACAGCCGCTGTTGGTAGGACCACCTCAACCAGGACACCGCCGTCCTACGGGGCCTGCGGGATGCCGGGCTGATGGCCAACCCCAAGAAATGCAAAATTGGCTGGCAAGAGGCATGAACTGGTGCTCTTCAGCCCTGACTTTGACAGGGAGTTCCTGCTACAGATTGATGAGTCGGAGGTGGGCCTGGGGGCAGTCCTTTCACAGGAGGTAAATGGGGAAGAACATCCTATATTATATATCAGCCGTAACCTGTTCCCCTGAGAGCGAAATTATATGGTGGTTGAGAAGGAAGCACTGGCCGTCAAGTGGGCCGTGGACACCTTATTATATTATCTTGTAGGCAGCCCCTTCGTACTAGTAACTGACCACGCATCTCTGAAGTGGCTACAAACAGCAAAGAAGACAAACCCTCGGATTATGTGGTGGTACCTAACCCTGCAGCCTTATGCCTTCACCATTCAGCATTGACCATAGAATCATAGAAGATTAGGGTTGGAAGAGTCCTCAGGAGGTATCTAGTCCAATCCCCTGCTCAAGGCAGGACCAATCCCCAACTAAATCATCCCAGCCAGGGCTTTGTCAAGCCTGACTTTCACCACCCTCCTAGTAAAAAAGTTTTTCCTAATATCCAACCTAGACCTCCCCTACTGCAACCATTGCTCCTTGTTCTGTCATCTGCCACCACTGAGAACAGCCGAGCTCCATCCTCTTTGGAACCCCCCTCCAGGTAGTTGAAGGCTGCTATCAAATCCCCTCTCACTCTTCTCTTCTGCAGACTAAATAACCCCAGTACCTTCAGCCTCTCCTTGTAAGTCATGTGCCCCAGCCCCCTGATCATTTTTGTTGCCCTCCAATTTGTTGCCCACTGGACTCTCTCCAATTTATCCACATCCCTTCTGCAGTGGGGGGACCAAAACTGGACCCAATACTCCAGGTGTGGCCTCACCAGTGCTAAATAGAGAGGGAAAATCACTTCCCTCGATCTGCTGGCAACATTCCTATAAATACAGCCCAATGTGCCGTTGGCCTTCTTGGCAACAACAAGGGCACACTGGTGACTCTTATCCAGCTTTTCATCACTGTAATCCCCTGGTCCTTTTCTGCAGAACTGCTGCTTAGCCAGTTGGTCCCCAGCTTGTAGCGGTGCATGGGATTTTTCCTTCCTAAGTGCAGGACTCTGCACTTGTCCTTGTTGAACCTCAACAGATGTCTTTTGGCCCAATCCTCCAATTTGTCTAAGTCACTCTGGACCCTATCCCTACCCTCCAGCCTATCTACCTCTTCCCCGAGCTTAGTGTGATCTGCAAACTTGCTGAGGGTGCAATTCATCCCATCACCCAGATCATTAATAAAGATGTTGAACAAAACCGGCCCCAGGACCGACCCCGGGTACCGGCTGCCAACTAGACACTACCCATTGAGCTGACGATCTAGCCAGCTTTCTATCCACCTTTGTAGTCCATTCATCCAGCCCATACTTCTTTAACTTGCTCGCAAGAATACTGTGGGAGACCGTATCAAAAGCTTTGCTAAAGTCAAGATATATCACGGCCACTGCTTTCACCATATCCACAGAGCCAGTTATCTCACCTTCCTCTCCTCCAAGCGCTTCAAAATGGATTCCTTGAGGGCCCACTCCATGATTTTGCCAGGGACTGAAGTGAGGCTGACTGGTCTGTAGTTCCCCAGGTTCTCTTTCTTCCCCTTTTTCTTCCAGACAGAGCTGTGTGCCAAAGTGATCAACTTTGGCTGGTGTTGGGTTACAAATCACGTCAGTGCAGGGGTCATGAAATGTTGTTATCCTTATTGTGTGAGCAAAGGGCAGCAGAACTGTGCTTCGCCTGTCCAGATTGAGGGGGCCCCGAGCGTGTCCGGTCTCTGCACTGTGTCTCTGTGCCCTGCACTGAGCGTGTGCGTTGTCTGCACTCTGTGTCTCTGCCATGCACCAGTGTGTGCATGTAGGTGTGTATGTTAGGGTGAGCAGACAGCAAGTGTGAAAAATCGGGACGGGGGTAGGGAGGAATAGGAGCCTATATAAGAAAAAGACCCAAAAATCGGGTCTGTCCCTACTGGTCACCCTAGTGTATGTGCATATTTCCATGCTGCCCCATGCTGGAGGGGCTGAGTTCTGCTCTCTCTCGCTCGCTCACTCGCTCTGTGGGTATGGGGTGTGTGTGTGTGTGTGTGTGTTGTAAGTACACACTGTCACCCCCTGACTGCATTGTGACATTTAGGGCTGTGTGTCCACCTGGAAACGTGCTGAGGGGGGGCAGGTATCTCGGCTCCACTCTGCCCCACCCCTATTACCCCCCCCCCCCCCCAGCCGGCTGGGGTGAGGCCTGGCCCTGCTTCCTAGCCAGCTGCTGCTTTCACTTTCCCCACTCGCTGATCAGGAGCGAACCAGAACTGGAGGAAGGCAGCAGGAGAGAGCCGGGGGCCCAGCCAAAGGCAGGCAGGGGAGGCCCCCGCACAGAGAGGGGGTGGCAGGAAGAGGGGGAGCGAGGAGCCCACAGACGGTGACAGCAGCTGAGACACTGCGGACGGGACGGGGTGAGCCGTGTGCCCACAGATTGCTGCCCCTTCCCGGAGACCATCAACCCCCCCTGAGCGCAGCCCAGCCTTGGGGACGGTAAGAGATTCCCCCTGCTAGGGATTTTCCTCCCCATCCTCAAATTCCTCTCCCCCACTTCCTGTGAGTTCCTGGGGAACACCTGGCCCCTGGGCCCCCTTTGCGCCTCCCCCGGTGTGGCTGCAGTTCGGGGCTGTGTTGGGGCAGCTGCTAAGCCGCCCTGCAGAGGAACTCGTGCTGGGGACAGTGTCCAGCCTGTGGCCCGCGGGGGGTCGGATTAGGTGGCCCCCAGGATAGTCCCCTTCCGGCTCTGCAGTCGATGAATCTGTGTTTTTCACCTGCAAAAGCTGTGGCTGAAAAGACTGTGCTCGGCTCTGGTTCCTCAGACTCTCACTTGGCATCAGTAGAAATAGCTGGGCCCCAATGCCGGTGTCCTCTGTTCCCTGTGCTCCGAGCTGGGATGGGGTCCGAGAAAGCCGTGTGCTCCCCGTCTTCCTGCCAGGCCTTTCGGGTAAGCGAGAGCAGCTGCAGGGCTCCCCACGGCTCCTCTGACCTAGAGAGCAGCCAAGAGAGAAAGCTGGGTCTGCGCATGGCTCTGCCTATTCACAGATGACATATTGTCCCTGTCAGCAGCAGTGCTCTGGGCTGGCTCGAAAATCTCCCCACTCATTTCCAGGAGTTCATGGGAGCTGAGATCTTGTGAAAATTCTCACCTGTGGGGCTGCACAGTGCTCAGATAATGGGGGCCCTGATCTCAGCCAGGGGCTGTGCAGCACCTCACACAATGGGGTCCCTGATCTCGATCGGGGTTCCTATGCACTACTATGCTACAAATAATAAATAATGATTAAAACCAAACGACTCCTGTTTTTTCCACACAGCCCCTGCCTCATTCAGTGCACGGGTCCGATACGTAAGGGGCAGAGTTAAGGTTGCATGGGCCACCATAAATGTGCCTTTTCCTAACTTTTGAGGGCTTGACACTGTGCTGTTGGCGCAGGATTTTCTGGACATAGCCTTAACTAGGAGCTGAAATGTTCAATCGTAGAATCATAGAATATCAGGGTTGAAAGGGACCTCAGGAGGCCATCTAGTCCAACCCCCTGCTCAACGCAGGACCGATCCCCAATCAAATCATCCCAGCCAGGGCTTTGTCAAGCCTGACCTTAAAAACTTGTAAGGAAGGAGATTCCACCACCTCCTCAGGTAACGCATTCCAGTGTTTCACCACCCTCCTAGTGAAAAAGTTTTTCCTAATATCCAACCTAAACCTCCCCCACTTCAACTTGTGACCATTACTCCTTGTTCTGTCATCTGCTACCACTGAGAACAGTCTGGATCCATCCTCTTTGGAACCCCCTTTCAGGTAGTTGAAAGCAGCTATCAAATCCCCCCTCATTCTTCTCTTCCGCAGACTAAACAATCCCAGTTCCCTCAGCCTCTCCTCATAACTCATGTGTTCCAGTCCCCTAATCATTTTTGTTGCCCTTCGCTGGACTCTCTCCAATTTTTCCACATCCTTCTTGTAGTGTGGGGCCCAAAACTGGACACAGTACTCCAGATGAGGCCTCACCAATGTCGAATAGCAGTCCTTCTAATGTTTCTTCTTCTCTGCCGCAGACTGAGCGCCATGGCTCTCGATGAGTTCAAAGCCGCAGTCTATGAAGGGAGGCTGACAGATGCGATTTCTAATGTGCAGCAGAGACCGCTGGAGTCGTTTAACAGCCACACCCTCAGCATCGCCATCACGGGGGAGTCGGGCTCCGGAAAGTCCTCCCTCATCAACGCCATGCGGGGGCTATGTGCTGGTGATGAAGGCGCTGCTGAAACTGGGATGTTAGATGCCATGAGGGAGCCGATGGTTTATCCAGATCCCATCCTTCCAGGCGTCACGCTCTGGGACCTGCCAGGGGTGGGGACATTCTATTTCCCTCTAGACACCTACTGTGAGCGGCTCAATTTGAGCCAATACGAGTTCTTCATCATCGTCGGCTCCCAGCGCTTCTGCTCCGACCACGCCAGGCTGGTCCGTGAGATCCAGAGAATGGGCAAGAGGTTCTACTTTGTGCGCTCCAAAGCCGACGTGGACCTGGATGCTTCCAGGAGGCAGCGTTCCTCCAGCTACAACCAGGAGAGGATCCTGCAGCAGATCAGGGAGGACTGCAGGAGAGGCGTAGCAGCTGAGGGAGTGGGCCACCCACAGGTTTTTGTCGTTTCAAGTAGGGAACCCAACTGCTACGATTTTCCCCTCCTGCGACAAACTTTGCAGACGGAGCTGCCGAGCCTGAAGAGACACGCCTTCCTGCTTAGCCTGCCTGCTGTCGCCTCCCGCATTGTCAACCAGAAGAAAGCCGACCTGAAGGGAGAGATTTGGAAAACAGCCCTTTTCTTATGTCTTCTCGCTGCCATTCCTGTCCCAGGCATCGCTTTCTTGTGCACCTTCTTTGGCTTCCGGAAACACCTGTTCCAACACTACAGCAGCTTTGGCGTGGACGACAGGTCCCTCTCTGCTCTCGCCCACCAGGTTGGGGAGCCCGTGCGGGAGCTGACGGCTGTGATGACGTCCTTGGGAACGACCCCCATGATGGCTCTGAAGCTGTTGTTGGATTCGGTGGGGGCTGCCGTGATGGTAGCGGAATATTCGTGGAAGCGCCTCCCCGTATTTGGTGCCATGGTGTCAGGAGGGGTGGCGCTGGTTACCACGTACTTCATGCTGCGGAAGTGTTTGGCCTCTGTAGCTGACGATACCCAGCGGGTTCTGAGCAAAGCTCTGGAGGCCGAACGGGAAAACACCATCTAGGATTTGGTGTTGCATTGGATGAGCCTGCTGCTGTCTAGAAGACACAGTCTTGGACTTCAAGCAGGAAAGATTCCTGCTTCTTCATCCAGGAGTTGCATGTGTAGGCCAAAAGCCTAACGAGAAGAAATTGTCTTAAGTAAAATTTTGCTTATTTTGCCTTATACTCCATTTTGCTAGCTTTGAATTAGTATGAAGAAATTATTCTGAGTTTATTTTTTGCTGATTGTGTTAACATTTGTTCTTCGAAAGACAGATGTTTTATGACTGTAATTGCGTTATTTACTGTTTGATGTGAGTGAAGAATGTATGGTAATTAACTGAGTCAGGACAACTGGGCCGGATGGTCAAGAAGGGAGTGGAGGAGTCAAGAGGCACCAACTTTATGATCAATCACCCGGATGGCAGATTTATGACCCTAAAGCAAAGGCATACGCCCCAAGGACAAGATAAGGAGTTGAGCCAAAGGGATGAGAAAGAAACAGCTGCAGATCCTCCCGGTAACAACTCACAATAATGCTAATTAAGAGCAACCTTGTATACCTCGTGATTGACAGCTCTGGTGTAACACAGGTATGTCCATAGACTTGTATGGGAATGTATCGCTATAAAAGAAGGGTGTATTGCCATGGGACTTTGGGTTCGTTCTGCATCAACCTTGGAGCTTCGAATGCATTCAACAGCCCTGCTCCCCTCCCTCGTGTGCAGGTTCAGCTGGCCACTGGAACTGACCGAGCAACACTAAGGACTGGTAACTGTAAGATCCAGCTGCAGAACCTTTTGTGTGTGTGTGTGTGTGTGTGTGTGAATGGAAGCACATGCTGATTTTAATACTTAAATTGTACTCTCAATAAACGCGGTGTATTGCCCACCATAAACCATCTTGGGCGTCGTTGCACACAAGTCAAAGCGCCCATAATGAATGAGACAGACTCAGTAACAGCTCAGTGCTCCTGAGGTTTTACCCCACAAGGAATGAGGCAGCTTCCTTCTTCACATTCATACAACAAAAATAAAATTATACTGAATCCGGTTCTATCAGCCTAGGTCCCGCTGGGCTCCTCCATCCCTTCGGTATCTGAACACCTTACAAACATGAATGGACTGGATCCCCGCACTGGGGCAGATCAGCTGTCATTCCATTGGAGTCAGTGGGGAAGATCCCAGCTGGGGTCAATGGGCCGTAGCTCCATTGGAGTCAGTGGGGCCAGATCCCAGCTGGGGCCGATCAGCTGTAGCTCCGTTGCAGCTTAGAAGCTGAAGGCCTTGTCCTCATGGGAAAGTTTTTCGGCATAACCTAAGGTGTGAATTTAAACCAATAGAGTGATCCTGGTGTAACCTTGTGTGTGGACGCTCTCACGCTGGCAGAAGAGTAGCTTTTTTCAGTTTCGTTTATGTCACTTGGGAGGGGGTTTAAGCTGAACCGGAGAATGTCACAGTTTCGTTTATGTCACTTGGGGGGGGAGGGATAGCTCAGTGGTTTGAGCACTGGCCTGCTAAACCCAGGGTTGTGAGTTCAATCCTTGAGGGGGCCATTTAGGGATTTGGGGCAAAAATTGGGAATTGGTCCTGCTTTGAGCAGGGGGTTGGACTAGATGACCTCCTGAGGTCCCTTCCAACCCTGATATTCTATGATTCTATGATTCTAAGAGCATCCACGGGGTAGGGGGTTAGAGCCGTGGATCCGGTAAACCTGGCCTTTGAAGACAAGGACTAAAAGCCTCATTAGAATCCTGCCCTGTGAATCTGGTCAGTTGCATTTAGCTGCAATGCTGGGGCAGTGGGTTTGCTCTGTGTGTGGTTTTCCATGCTGACCAGTATCGTCTTGTTGTTTCCTTGCTCTTTTTCTTGGCCTGTTTGTTGAATCTACCTATTGCCAATAGTCTTACACTTAGATTGAAAGCTCTCCTGGGCGGGCCAGTCTTTGTGTTATATCTTCATACAGCGCCTGGCACAATGGGGCCCTGGTTTCTATTTGCTACCGTAATACAAACAACTCACAATAATTGGCCCGGTACCATGTGCCATCACCATATAAACAGGCTGACAGTCAATATCGATTCTAATCACGGCATCTTGCGATCATGTGATGCTTTATTGACTCATTCACTCCCTGCCACAGATCATGTTTAACTTAATAACGTTGTTAGATTCCATACCTGCCAGGCAGCGCGTATCCACGTTTACCTTCATTCACTAATCTCGGTATTTGTTGCCTTTGGGTTCACAGTCACCGCGCTGGTTTAATAAAGGTACATTGAACACACGCCGCTGCCTGCAGCTTCCTGGGCATCTCTGCTCAGGCTTCCCGCCCAGGGTAAGTGGAGGGACCCAGGCTCCCCCCAGCTGCCAGCGCAGCTCTCCCCAGCCTGGCTCTGGAGGCTGTGGGTGGGAGGGGGTCGGAGCCGCAGCCTGGCCACAGAAAGGGCCAGGTGGGGAGCTGTGTGGAGCTGCCGTGGACCCTCCACCTGCCTCTACCTGCTCTGGGTGGATTAGATGGGCCCCAGGGCAGTCCCCTTCCGGCTCTGCAATCGATGAATCTGCGTTTTTCACCTGCAAAAGTTGTGGCTGAAAAGACTGGGCCCGGCTCTGGTTCCTCAGACTCTCCCTTGGCATCAGTAGAAATAGCCGGGCCTCAATGCCGGTGTCCTCTGTTCCTCTGCGCCCAGCTGGGATGGGGTCCGAGAAAACCGTGTGCTCCCCGTCTTCCTGCCAGGCCTTTCGGGAGAGCGAGAGCGGCTGCAGGGCTCCCCATGGCTCCTCTGACCTAGAGAGCAGCCAAGGGAGAAGGCTGGGTCTGAGCATGGCTCTGCCTATTCACAGATGACATATTGTCCCCGTCAGCAGCAGTGCGCTGGGCTGGTTCGAAAATCTCCCCGCTCATTTCCAGGAGTTCATGAGAGCTGAGATCTTGTGAAAATTCTCACCGGTGGGGCTGTGCAGTGCTCAGAATAATGGAGGCCCTGATCTCAGCCAGGGGCTGTGCAGCTCCTGGCATAATGCGGGCCCTGGTCTTGGTCATGGTCTGTGCAGCTCCTGGCATAATGGGGCCCCGATCTCGGGAATTGGCCAATGGGAGCTGTGGGGGTGGCGCTTGCGGGCACGGTCAGCGCAGAGACACGCTGTCCCCCTCCCCCCAGGCACAAGCGGAGATGTGCCAGCAGCCAGCGACTTCCGGGAGTGGCGTGGGGCTATTGCAGGCAGGCAGCCTGTCTGAGCCCTGCTGTGCCACCGGCCAGGAGCCACCTGTGGTAAGCGCCTCCTGGCCAGAGCCTGCACCTCGCACCCTCTACTGCACCCCAACACTCTGCTCCCTCCTGCACCAAACTCCCTCCCAGAGTCCACACCCCTCACTCTCTCTTGCACCCCAAGACCCTGCACCAGCCCAGAGCTCCCTCCTGCACCAAACTCCCTCCCAGAGCCCACACCCCTCTATGATGCTCTGTACCTCAGGTAACACCTAGCACCCCCATGTTCATCCTTGTAAAATGATTGTATGGTATCCAATGCAAAGTTTGTCATGTCGGGCGTCTTTGGAAGGCTCACGATGTACTGAGCATTGTTGTTACAGTGATGTTACAGATTATAATTTCATGTATATAGTTATAAGGCTGAAAATGTATCCTCATGGATTAAAGCATGCCCAGACAAAAACTCTCCAAGAGCAGAGGGGCAGTTCACACCTCATCAGGACAGGCATGGGACAAACCCAGCCCAGCCTCACAGGAACAATGGACACTGGCCTAGGCAGCAACAACAGAATCTGTTAGACCCTTGAGGGAGTCACCCCCCTTCCTTTGGTCAGTTTGGATCTGCGATAAGGTAATGCTCCCCTGACTCTGAAGGGTGGGGGGGAAAGCCAATAGGGAAGAAAGAATATGATAAAAGGGAGAGACGTTTGCCATGCTCTTCCTCTCTCTTCCACCTACATCTACAGACACCACACCACGCGACTGAAGCACTGAGCAAAGGGAAGAGCCTGGCTAAAGAGCAACCAGCCAGCCTGTGGTGAGAAGCATCGAAGTTTGTAAGGACATTGAAAGTGTTAAGATCAGCTTAGTATGCGTTTTGCTTTTATTTCATTTGACCAAATCTGACTTGTTATGCTTTGACTTATAATCACTTAAAAATCTATCTTTATATTTAGTAAATCTGGTTGTCTGTTCTACCTGAAGCAGTGTGTTTGGTTTGAAGCGTGTCAAAGACTCCCCTTGGGATAACAAGCCTGGTACATATCAATTTCTTTGTTAAATTGACAAACTCATATAAGCTTGCAGCGTCCAGCGGCCATGACTGGACACTGCAAGACGGAGGTTCCCAGGGTTGTGTCTGGGACCAGAGATATTGGCTAGTGTCATTTGATTGCAAGTAGCTGGGAGCAGTTTACATGCCAGAGGCTGTGCGTGAACAGCCCAGGAGTGGGGGTTCTCACAGCAGAGCAGGGTAAGGCTGGCTCCCAGAATCAAGGATTGGAGTGACCTAGCAGATCACCAGTCCGGATAACACCAGAGGGGAACTTCACACCCTCTCCGCACCCCAATCCCCTGCCCCAGCCCAGAGTTCCCTCCTGCACCAAACTCCCTCCCAGAGCCCACAACCCTCACCCTCTCCTGCACCCTGACACTCTGCATCAGCCCAGAGCTCTGTCCTGCACCCAAACTGCCTCCCAGACTCTGCAGCCCCTCCTGCACCCCAATCCCCTGCCCCCCCCCCCCCTGCACCAAACTCCTTCCCAGGAAAAAGACTTGTATACAGCGGCCCCACCAACTCTAATAGCCCTGGGCTCACAGGAGAGTTAATCCGGCCCTGCCTATGCCCTGGTCCCTTACACCTCCCTACCCAGAAATCAAACCTGCGCTCACTTCGGCTGGGTCAGGCTGCAGAGATTCTGGAGCAGCCCAGGCAGCCGATAGACCTTCCTGAATGTTTCGACCTGGCCAGCCTTGGACAACACACAGTGAGTGGGGAGCAGGGGAGGAGGGAAGAGGCGAGAATGCACCTGCCCCCCACCACTGAGATAGGCGCACTATGCTTGGGACTGTTGGTAAGACCGTCTGGATCAGGGGTGTGTGTCTTACATCCCAGATACTGTTGATGTATTAATTGCTGGCATCCCCAGGTTTATTCTGTTGTCCCCGCTAATAATAAAGTTTTCTTTGTTGAACTCCCAAGAGGTGCCGACTTCCCCAGTTCCCAAGGGGTTCTCGACCCCCACTCCGCCCCGGGCCCCACCCCCGCTCCAACCCTTCCCCCAAGCCCCGTCCCCTGCCCTGCCTCTTCTCATCCCCGTGTCTCCCCCTCCTCCTGTATATCCTGAACGCCATTGAACAACTGATTGCAGCAGCTGGGAGGTGCTGGGAGGGAGGGGGAGGCGCTGATCCATGGGGCTGCCAGTGGATGCTAAACACCCACAATTTTTTCCATGGGTGCACCAGCCCCAGAGCACCCACGCAGTCAGCGCCTATGGAACCTGCCAGGAGTCAATGCTTCAGTGGGGTGCCTTGACTATCACAGGTGCCCAGAGCGGTATACACAGGGCAGTATAGATACTTTCCATAGGTTTCTGGGTGTGGCTCAAGTCGATTTTAAGTTTGCAGAAGGAACCCCTCGGAAATTGAACCCCTTTTGGCTGCCAGCACTGGTGGAAGGGTTACACTGATATCCCTATAAACACCGACTCCCTTTCCAACATACAAAGATCCAGTCCAAACACTCAACCAGCAAGGCTGATGCTTGGGTCCATTTTATGCCCTTTAATCCGTGTTTCCTAACTGCAATAAACCTCAGATGCACCAAGTGCCAGATCAAATTCCTTGGGCATTTATTAAAGGTTAAAAGCATTTCTATGGGGGGAGGGGGCAGTTGAATGATGATAAAGCCACAACCAATGAGCACACATTGCAATTGAATCCACATTGCCCATTGCCTGCACAATACAGATGTGACCAGTTCCCCAGGAACCTGGAACTGGGGTCCCGCTGAGCCCTCTGTCTTACCAACCTGGGCTCCCTCTCACACTGTGATGCTGTGACAAGCTGCAAACCCCTCCAGGTCCTTAACACAGCCATCCACAGGCAGGGACACACCCACCTGAGTTACTTGAATGCTTCTCCCAGCCACTCATGAACCATCAATAGGGAGGCTCCAGCCAATTCCCCCAGCTCTCCCCCTAGGACTCCAGGGCTGTACCATCCTGCTCTGGTCAGAAGCCTGACCAGTGTAAATTTATTACCCAGTCTGCCCCTCCCTCGATGTGAAGAGGACATGCAACAGCTCTAGTTCCTGAGCAGATTCCCCCAAGCACTTTAGGCAAGACACACTCAGCCCTGGTCTACACTGTTGGAGACCCCAGGGCATGGCCACTAGTTAAGTCGAGGGGATAAAAGGCCATAAGGGTCGAGGAAGTCTCCCTGTTGAAGGCCAAAGGGCTTCTTCTTAACCCCCCTTAATAGAATTCAGGCCTGGCTGGTTTGAGTAAGCTCTTTTGGTCTTAAAACAATGTTGCAGCCGCAGATAATGCCTTATAGTGTAAGGTTTGCTGACACCAAGTTAAAAATAATAGGAGACAGTTACAAGGCCAGACAGGATGTGCTGGTTGTTTAAGTTGCTAGGAATGCTTGTTAGAGGTTGCAGAAAATAAACATTGTTGTAACCCATATAAAAAAGGCAAAATATTTGTGCAAAGTTTTAAGTGGCTAATGTGTAGTGCAGTAACATTAAAAAATATAAAAAATATATATAATGACCTGCTCTGGTGTGCAGGATTTAAAATTCTGTTCTCCCTGTACCTTGTTTGCAGCTGCAAATAAACTTTTCTGCTTCTCCACCCCATTGTGATTATTAAGTAAAACATACCGGGTAACAAACCCCTGCTGTTGTTTTGCCTCTTGGTACTGGGTGCCGGCAACAACACTACGAGTTTAGGTCGAATTTAGCAGCGTTAGATCGATTTAACCCTGCACCCGTCCACATGATGAAGCCATTTTTGTCGGCTTAATGGGCTCTTAAAATTGATTTCTGTACTCCTCTCCGACGAGGGGATTAGCGCTGAAATCAACATCGCTGGGTCGAATTTGGGGTAGTGTGGACGCAATTCGATGGTATTGGCCCCCGGGAGCTATCCCACAGTGCTCCATTGTGACTGCTCTGGACAGCACTCTGAACTCGGATGCACTGGCCAGGTAGACAGGAAAAGCCCCGTGAACTTTTGAATTTAATTTTCTGTTTGGCCAGCATGGCAAGCTGATCAGCACAGGTGACCGTGCAGATATCATCAGCAGAGGTGACCATGGAGTCCCAGAAGCGCAAAAGAGCTCCAGCATGGACCGAACGGGAGGTACTGGATCTGGTCGCTGTATGGGGAGACGAATCCGTGCTATCAGAACTCTGTTCCAAAAGATGAAATGCCAAAATATTTGAAAAAATCTCCAAGGGCATGAAGGACAGAGGCGAAACAGGGACCCGCAGCAGTGCTGCGTGAAACTTAAGGAGCTCAGGAAAGCCTACCAAAAAACCCAGGAGGCAAACGCCCGCTTGGGGTCAGAGCCCCAGACATGCTGCTTCTATGTCATGCTGCTTCTAGTCAGAGGTACCGCACTGGAGATTAGGAAACCTGGCCTGTACCCCTGGCTCTGGGAGAGGAGGGTTGTTTCTTTGTAGTGTAGAGATAACTCTAAAGGGTTGCACATTTTGTAACTTTGCAGGCCGAGC